TGTCGAGGAGCACCGCCAAGGCGCCAACTCTTCCCTTTCTTGCTCCGCCTGTTCCTCTTCCCACCTCTCGCCCGGTTCCTTCCGCCTCCCTTTCTTTGCTCCAGATCGATTTGGGCATGGCCATCACCTAAACGCCCGTTTATTCCCGTTCCAGGCGTCCATTCCCGTTTCCCTGCCGTCCCGTTTAGCCCGTCTTCAACGTTTATTCCGGTTTTTGACCGTCTAAACGGGAAAGCCGTTTAACTGTCCGCCCAGGCCCTAAACTTCACGGCACCCTGTCGTTTACCGTCTAAACGCGTTTAGACGGCCGTTTAAAACCGTTTAGGAAAACGTGGCTTGTAGTGAAGGTACGGGTGCCAATTTATTCAGCAAATTTATAGGTGTTTGATTAATTTATCCGGTCTTTTGTAGTTCCACTAAAAAACCTGGCCATGTGCCCCCTATTGGCTTGTGACTCCTACGAGGCATTGAGGTGTTAGATTATTTTTTTGTTTTTTTTCTGTTGTTTGAGAATTGAGATAATCAGAATTCAGAAGCAAACATGTCACAGTAGTTCCGTTCATTGAAAGTGTTTTATTCTCTTCATTGGCTGTACTGTCATTCATGTGACTGAGACCTCTCAGCTTCATGTCTCAATCTAACATTGGTAGTTAAATTTAAGTTTTCATATCTGGGCAAGCACGTTTCAATATGGATTTTGGCAATTGGTACCATATAAAGCTGATTGAAATTTTACCTCAGCTAAAATTTTAGGTGTGATTTGCCACTGGGAGAAAAGGGAAAGGGAGATCTCTAGTGTTGTGCAAGGAAGATTGGATAGTTGTCCCCGGGTCTCTGCAAAAGGAAGGTTTTGACGCTCTATGTGGTGCTTCTGAGCAAAGCAGTACAGGTTAGAATTAAATTTTGCCTTTTATTACTTCCATGCTATTGCTATATATATCAGTTTAATTATTTTGTGCACTATGAGTCTGTGACTGTGATATGCTTCTGTTTTGAATGTGCAATATATATCAGCCTCCCTCTTTTGTTACTAGTACTTACTATATGTTTGCGCTCTTCATTATAAACTCGCCTTTTAGTTTCAAAATGTTTGTTGAGCTCACTCTCCCAACACATATGCTCTCATGATATGAACTATGACATGGTACTGTCTAATTTTCAGTTTATTGTCGCAACATAAACCATGTCAGTAGAAGACCGTAGTTGGATGTACCAAGGTTGGAAGGACAATGGTTGTCATTCCCAGGAATGGGTGCGAAATACTAATGCTTTTCTAGACCGTGCTTTCAGCGGTGTTCCTAATTCTGAAAAATTTGGAGTAGTGTGCCCATGTTCAGATTGTGGCAATAGAGTTAGACGGAGGAGAGCTGTCATGGGTATGCATTTGTGTAAAAGAGGATTTATGCCTGGGTATACTCTATGGACTAAACATGGTGAGCACCCTGTTAGTGAGCCTACATTGCAACATGTCTATAGTACCGCCGATGGTTTAGACGAGATGTTAGCCGATTTTGGTGATGCAATGCATACTGAGAATCTAGAAGATGAACCAACAGCAGATGCTAAGGCATTTTATGCTATGTTGTCGGCTTCAAAAGAGCCGCTCCACAACCTCACTAGTGTTGCACGGCTGACCGCAGTGGCACGTTTGATGGCAATTAAGTCACAACACAGCCTCTCTATGGAATGCATTAACAAATTACTAAATTTATTTGATGATGTACTTCCTGAGAACCATAAAATGCCAAAAACATTATATGAGTGTCAATATCTTCTCCGCGGTCTAAAAATGCCGTATGTCAAGATAGATGCTTGTGTAAACAATTGTATGATATACTACAAAGAAGATGCAAATAAGGAAAAATGTGACATTTGTGAGGAAAGCTGATATGTAGTTGTTGAAGCAACCAATCAGGGGCGTAAACGGAAGCCAATAGCACGTAAGGTTCTGCGTTATCTCCCAGTCATACCAAGGTTGCAGCGGTTGTTCATGGAGCCAAAAACTGCACAGCACATGCGGTGGCACAAGGAGGGTAGACGTGCTAACCCAAATGTCATGGTGCACCCATCTGATGCTGAAGCATGGAAACAGTTCAATAGGCTAAACGCAGATTTTGAGTTGGATGCAAGGAATGTTCGGATTGCTATGGCAACAGATGGCTTCAACCCTTTTGGGTATGGAAAAGCACAATATTCTTGCTGGCCAGTTTTTGTGATTCCTTTGAACTTGCCTCCTGTTTTATGTATGAAGGAAGAAAATATATTTCTTAGTCTAGTTATTCCTGGCCCGGAGCATCCTAGTAAGAATTTGAATGTCTTCATGCGGCCGCTTGTTGATGAGATCAAGTCAGCTTGGGCAGGAGTACTCACCTATGATAGCTTCTCAAAGAGAAATTTTCATATGAGGGTTTCATATCATACTTCCATTCATGACTATCCTGGACTTGGTATGTTCTCTGGATGGTCTACACATGGTGGCTTGGCCTGTATCGATTGTATGGCAGATGTGGATAGCACTTGGCTGCCAAATGGGCAAAAGTTTAGTTGGTTTGATTGCCATAGAAGATTTCTACCGCCTGACCATATTTTCAGGTACCAGAAGAATACATTTAGAAAGGGGGTACAGGTCCATGACATGCCTCCACATCGATTAACAGGGCAAGAGGTGCTAGCCTATATGAATGAAGTCAAAGATAAATCCTTTGAAGGTTATGGTACTACCCACAATTGGACTCACATTCCATTTTTGTGGGAGTTGCCATACTTCTCTCAACTTTTGCGTCCACATAATATTAATGTCATGCATACTGAGAAAAATGTAGCTGAAGCCATTTTTTATACTTGCCTTAACATTGCTGAGAAGAGTAAGGATAATCCTAAGGCTCGCTTTGACCAAGCCTTGATGTGCAATAGAAGACATCTCAACCTTGTCGAGAAGCCAAATGATAGGTGGGATGGACCTAGAGCACCTTTTCCCTAACAAGAAACCAAAAAAGGGATGTTATGCAGTGGTTTAGGGACATCAAATTCCCGGATGGTTATGTAGCAAATCTAAGGCGAGGGGTCAACATGGATACACTAAAGATAAATGGACTTAAGAGTCATGACTTCCATATATTCATTGAGCGTCTGCTACCCGTGATGATGTGAGGTTTTGTCAAAAATGAGATATGGGAGGCGTTAGCTGAGCTAAGTTACTTCTTTAGAGTGCTTTGTGCAAAGGAGGTTGATCGTGCGCAGATTCTTCAACTAGAAGAAAACATACCTATTATACTTTGCAAATTGGAGAAAATCTTTCCACCTGGGTTCTTCAATTCGATGGAACATTTGATGGTGCACCTCCCATATCAAGTTAGAGTAGGAGGCCCTGTAACATACACATGGATGTATGGAATTGAAAGGTGCACCTTCCAACTTTTGTTCTTTATTATCATTGGGATTGTCCTAGTCAGCGAACTAATAGTGACTTGATTCATGTAGGTTGTTAAAAAAAGTTAAGGGAAAAGTCCGTAACAAGGCTCGTGTTGAAGCCTCGATAGTTGAAGGATGCCTAGTTGATGAAATCTCTAACTTCACATCATTATACTTGCCTAAACTCATATCTAGTTCCCGCAATCGTCCTCAGCGTTATGCTCAATCTAGCGCTCCATCTCATTCTACTCTTAGCTTGTTCCAAGTACGTGGTTGGAAGGGTGGTAGAGGAGTGACAAGATTTCTAAGTATTGAAGAGTACAAGACTGCAATGATATATATCTTCACAAACTTGACTGAAATGGATGAACATGTGCAGTAAGTACACTCAGTATGATAACTGTAGATAGTAACATTTATCATACAAACATTTCATGATTTTGTGTTATAATATGTAGAAAATTTGATCAAGAACAATGGAGACGTGCAAGACCACCAAATCAAAAGCAACTAGACAATCTAAGGATGAATGGGGCTGGAAATGGGAAACCAGATTTTGCTGGATTGGTTTAGAAAACTGGTACTAGTGAGCTGCACAATTTATATACATTCTTATAAAATTTGAACTGCACTTTAATTTTATAACATTGCAGTGTGACATTGATGCAAGTGTACCTAGTGAGCTGCGTCGCTTATCGCATGGATGTGGCCTTAAAGTCAAGTCATATGATATTTATGAAGTTAATGGGTACAGATTTAGATCTGACAAGTATGAAAAATCTAGAGGGAATTTAACTACCACCAACACAGGGGTGGTTGTTGCTGGTTTTGATGATGACATCAACAATGAGCTTGAGTATTATGGTATCATCAAGGACATAATTGAGCTGAAGTTTGATGGAGATAGTGAATTCAGTCTTGTTTTGTTTGAGTGTAATTGGTTCCACCCAACTAATGGAGTGAGACACTTGGGAAGGTTTGGATTAGTTGAAGTTGCCCATGCATCATGTAATCCAGCAAATGAGCCTTTTGTTCTCTCCAGCCAAGTAAAGCAAGTTTATTATCTTCCTTATCCATGTAAGTCTGACCCGAGCTTTGATGGCTGGTGGGTTGCATACAGGGTCAGCCCCCATGGAAACTTGTCTACTCCATCAATGGATGAGTATAATGATCAAGGCCAACCATCTATTGATACTTTCCAAGAAGATGGTGTAGTTGGTGACATTGTCGTAGATATTGGAGCAGGTTTAAACAATATCACCATTAGTGATGGCTTTGATGAGATTGATGATCCAAATGAAATCTCTATGCTGATCAAGCAGCGAAATGGATTGAGTGTTGATGATGACCTGCCAATTGAAGAACCAGGGCTATTTAACACAGAATATTTTCATGATATCACAAAAGAAGAATACCTAGATCCTGATGACTTTTAAGAGGATAATTAATAATTAGGTAGTTCTAACTTTTGATTAATAAGCGTTTCATTGTAATTTACTTTTTAGAACTGTATTGCTATATTAATACTAAGTTCTGAATCTATTGCTTTCCATTCAATTACTGATGCCTACCATATCTTATTTTCAGGGATGACAATCTCACATAGGACACGTGCTCGGCCTTCTAACAGTTTAGTTCATATTGAGGACAGGGTTTCCAGTCACAATGACATTGATGATCCAATGAGGTAAATGTGGTTGTAGAAGAAATCCGCTTGTGAGGAAGTGCAGATCTGCCCCCCGAAATCAACAATGAGCAAGATCGTCCACTGATTGAGCCGGAAGGAAAATCGTGGGTTCTTAAAATTCACATTGTCATTCGGGTGAAAATCTCTTCTCATATGATATTTGTTTATTGATTTTTTTGTTTATGTTCCAAGGCATTGGACTGATGTAAAGGGTAGGACTCCTGCAAGTGTTTTGACCGTTCTACTGAAGAGAAAGCATCCTGGTTTGATTGAATATGGAGGCAAGATTGTGGTGGCATCGACATGGAAACATTACCAGGCAGCAACGGACACAGCTGGGAAATCCGCAGCTGATGTGGTATCTGAAGGTTTTTGGGTAATTCTCTGTTTCCATACAGATCATTTTTCTGTAGTTCAGTACAGATTTCCCTATATAGCAACATGTAAATTTAATAATTACCAGTTCAGTAGTTTAGCTGATTGGTCCATCATTTGTTGGTTCTGTAGTTCAGTACTTGTCCATCATTTGTACTTATGCTTAATAATTTCTGCAGAAAAGATTTAGATTCAATCCAGCTAAAGAAAATGAGTCCAGAAAACATGTTGGTTCTTCCTGCTCACAACTCCTATATAGCATCATGTATTATGCAAGAATTACTGCTCCAATGGATAATTTTCGGATAGTAGAAAAAAGAAGAATTTGTGACAAGATTGCTGGAAAGTTCTATTTGACACGGGAGGAGTACATTGCCCAACGCCCTGAATGGATGCTAGAAAGATGCTGGGAGGCTTTAGCCACGGAATGGAGTAGCCCTGAATTCAAGCAAAGATCTAAGACAAATCTTGCAAATCGCTATAGCCAGAAATTTAAACCTCACAAAGGTGGATCAAACTCTATTGCAACAATACGCCAAAAGTTGGTTAGTGTTCACTTACTGAATTATGTTAGATATAGTTTTGTGGCAGCACACAAATAATTTGAGATTGTTTTCACTGTAGTCTAAGAAATTAGGAAGAGAAGTGTTTGATATTGAGGCATGGATCCATTCCCATAGGGGTTCCAATCCTGAAGATATTAGTTCATTGAACACCGAAGAAGCCTCTTCATGCTTGGTAATTGCTAGTTATTACATCCAATTGTTCTTTGCTGCCACTTATTTTGCAAATATTGACTAATCGATTTATTTAATTGATAGGAGAAATACAAACTTAAGGCTATTGAGTTGAATGGACCTGATTTTGATTGGCTGCACTCTCCAGTGGATGCTAGAGCTCTTTACCGATGCTCTTGTGGTCGTCCACATGGTAAATGGGCGATGTTCAATGGGGTCATAAATGACAACGAGGCCCTACCTGAGTTGAGGAGCACCCATGCTAATGCAGCAGCAGCTAGGCGTCAACGTCAAGAGGAAGAGGAACGCTTAAGGAAGGAAGCTCATGATGGTCGTGCAACGAAGGAATATGCCCAAAGTATGTTCGAGTGGGGTGCAACGGTACATGCTTACAACAAAAACATTCAGAAATTTATGGAGGTGAGGTGCAGCATACATCCCTTAGTATTCATCTCCATACTTTCTAATTCGGTGAATCATATAAAAACTGAACTGCAGCAAGTTACTTCCCACACCGGAATGCCTGCCACTGCAGTTCCTTCTCCCCCAGCTCCTCCTCCACCGCCTCCAGCATATGTGGCTTCATTAAGTCCAAATCCCCCTCTTGACAATGTAAGTCTTATGGTCATTATGGCTTTTTTTTGGACCTTTTATGGTTGGTACTTATACCTAGTACTGCTCATCTAAAAAAAACTAACAACGTAACAGCTACCATCTTTTTTCAGAAATAGATTAGTATCATCTACTAGTAGTGTGTGACCTGCTGCTCCCTTAAATTGGCATGTTTCTCTGAGTTTTATAGTTAGTCCATGCTTAAACACTGACTCCACTAATTTTACCAATGTTGGAGTGTTGGTGCCCTCTGATATTTATGTGAAGCTCCACCAGTGAGTGGTGCATGGTAGCTGCTATCTTCTTTTTCAGAAAAAATCATTTTTTTCTCAGAACACGTTGCGTGTCATCAACTATTACTGTGTGACCTGTGTGCAAATTTTAAATGAAAACCAAAATGATTAGTCAGCAAAAGGGTGATCTGGTGATGCACTAGTATTTTTTCTGTCCAGTACAGAACTTGCATGTGACAAATGAGATAAGTAGTGAATGGAATCATAACCGTTATGCTTATCTAGTTGCATTTTCATTTGTTTAATTGCATAGCAGGTTGGTGCATCATCTGTTGGAATGGAAACTCCGGAGGAAACGTTGAGTAGGATCGCTTACGGAGGCTATCGTTGTCATGTGAATGCCACAAGTGGTGGGGGTACATACTCTCCTGAAGATGACGATGAATTTCCATTGCTTTGACATGTATTAAAACCTACTATGATGTTGGTCTGCTCACTTCTGATTATTTTGGCTGCGCTGTGCAGCAAAGCTGCTCGCTGCCTACAGCTACCAGGTTGCAATGTGCACCTGTGTTGTAGTTCAGTTTGGTCATTTTGATGACACAAGTGGTGTTTGTGTTACTGCCTCTAATGAGATATTGCAACTTAAATCAATATGGATTGATGAATGTTAAAGCCTGATGTGTACCGTGCTATAATTAAATTTGTATTTGGATTCAAAATTTGAATTCAAAATCTGACTTCAAATATATATTGTTTATTCATGTATGATCTGCCATTGTATGTTCCCCATAAAACTCAACCCCTAGGGAAATGACCTTTATGCATTGGCATGTCAGCAGATTTCCCTCGGGGTGAAATTACTCTACAGTTTCCCTAGGGTTTTCTCGCGGCACCCTAGGGCACTTCTTTGGTTCCCGTGAAATCTATCCCTAGGAAACAATCCTGACGAATCACCCTAGGGAAATAGGGAAACATGTTTCCCTAGGGTATCTGTGCCTTTCCTTAGGGTTTTTGGCCCTAGGGAAACAGGAGGATTCCAGTAGTGATAATTCATTTATGTCATGATTTCTAACATATTTTCCATACTTTATATTATATATGCAAGTGACAATTTCTCAAGTGTCACAATGCACTCTAAATTCTCAATGAACTAGCTAAAGGCCCGTACAGCTAAAACATCTATTTCCTCATCATCAGCAAATAAATGTAAGCAAAGTTCAGTTCGCGAGGCATTTGAAAGCCGTGACATTATTATGTACCTGAGTTTCAAAACCTGTGCTGTTACAAGTCAATGTATAACAATTGATCGATCGAGTCAATCTTCCCATCAACAATTTCACTTCATTTCAACCCAGTCTTACTTTCGAGTGGCAAGAGTAAAGGCTACAAAATTGGAAACACGGCTCAAATTAATAGTTGCAGCCTTGCAGGTTTACCTTAAACATTCAGTTTCAATATAAGCTATAAGAAACTGATTTGGTGGCCAGTGCCAACCACTGGAAGGGTGGCACCATTGCCAACAACAATGGAGGAAGGAAAAGAGGATGATGGCGAGGCTGTGACCATACCAGGGTTGGAGGCAATGTGAGAGGAAGCACCAGAGTCGATGACCCAGTCCGAGGAGCTTGGTGGCGGAGTGAGGGCGACGGTACTAAAGGCGTTGGCGAGGGACTCGGTAGTCCATGGCGACCAAGTAGGAGAGGGCGCCTGCTGGGGCGCCTGGTAGTATGCCCCGGGGATCGACGATGGAGTGAAGTACCCCGGGGGCACACCAGCCACTAGGGCTTGCTGCGGTGATGGAGGCGGGACGACGCGAGGCGGTGGACCGCGAGGACCTCCAGGGGTGGACCCGGGCCACATATGGATGGACCCGGTCCATGGGTTGAGGATGGAGGGCCACTGCTGGCCGCCAGGTGAGCCGCCTTGTGTGCCGCCTTGGCCGCGTCCGTCGCGGCGACGCCGACCACGACCGTTGCTGTTGCCAGACGGCTGCCCCTTGGCAGCCTGATGGGGGCGCGGGGGTGCAGAGGGCGGTGGAGGAGCGGGCGGCCTGCTGGACGACGAGGCGATGAGGGCTGAGGGCGGTGCTGAGGGTGGCGCCATGTTGAGCTCGGCCAGGCGGAGGTCAGCGCGGACGTCAGTGAAGGAGGGGAAGGGTCTCTGTCGAGTGACGAACTGCGACATGAACTGGAAACGTTCATTGAGTCCGCGCAGGACGTTTAGCACCAGAGTACGGTCCAGGATGGGCTCGCCAAGATCGGCAAGCGCATCCGCCATGCTCTTCATCTTGCGACAGTATTCGTCGATGGAGAGGGCGCCCTGGCAGAGAGTGCGGAACTTGGCGTCGAGGAGCATGGCGCGGGACTCGCGGTTGTTGAAGAATTGTTGTTCGATGCCGAGCCACGCCGCCCGAGCAGTGATGCCGTCGCGCTCGTGAACAACGTCGAGGAGGTCAGGGGAGATGGTGTTGAAGATCCACGAGACGACGACGCAGTCCATGCGGGACCACGCCGCATCGTGGGGGCGGGTGACGTTGCTGAGGACGTGGTCCTTCAGGGCGAAGCGGCCGAGGGTGAGGAGGACGTAGCCACGCCATTTGGAGTAGTTGGAGGACTGCAGATTAAGAACGATGGGGATCAAGTTCTTGATGTTCTGTACGGCGGCGGCTTGGCTATGCAGGTGAGCGATGGCCGCGGCCTCAGAGGAGATGGAGCGCGTATCGTCGTCGTCGAGCGAGTCGTTGTCGCGGAGGGGATCAGCTCGGAGCCGATCCAGGAGGGCAGAGGCCTGCTGCTCCAGAGCGTCGGCCTGCGCGCGCTCCGAATCGAGGGCGGCGGCAGCGGCGGCGCGGACGCGTTCCTGGGCGGCGGCGGCGGACTTGAGAAGGTCCGCCTCCTCCTGGAGTTGCTGACTGCGCTCGGCGTTGGAGGTGCGCAGAGAAGCGGCCTCGTCTTCCAGGGTCTTGGCGGCGGCGATGGCTTCGTCGCGAAGTTTGGCCGCAGCGGCGGCAGTCGAGGTGTCGGAGCTGGAGTCGCCAGATGGAGGGGCAGCCATGGGTGCGGCAGCCGACGAGACGCGCGCGGCGGCGTCGGGAGGCGCACGGCGGCCGTCAAGGTGGGCGCGGCGCGGCAGCCGAAGAGGCGGACGCAGGCGCCGGGAAAAGAGCGGAAGCAGGGGATTGGGTGGGAGAGAAACAGGCACATGACCAATTAGTCATCTGATACCATGATAGAAGGTTAAGCCAACAGGCTTAGCATACTTGATTTGAGGTACCAAAGGGATTACAAGCATATAGGGGCCCAAAGGGCCTGACCAGTGCCGCATTCACACAGGAAAGGGCCTAACCGGTAGAGTGTTCACATGAGTAACTAGATATTCTAACACAAAATAAACCTACCCTTAATAAAAGCATTGTGTGGGAGACACAATTCTTTGAGCAACTGAGCTCAATCTAAGTGTTAACAATTTTGAGAAGATTTTAAAGCTACAATTAAGCAAACTGATGGGCCTGAAATGTTTCATGTCCACAGCATCACCCACTTTTGGAATAAGAGTTACTAGAGCAAAGTTTAATCTACCCAGATCAAGAGTACCTTTATGAAAATCATTGAAAAGAGCTATCAAATCATCCTTAACTAAATCCCAGAACTTATGATAGAAGATAAAGGACAAGCCATCAGGGCCAGGAGCACCCTCAGCATAACAACTGAAAACTGCTGATTTGATTTCAGCTTCAGAGAAAGGAGCAACCAGAAGTCTATTTTCTACCTCAGACACTTTGTCCTCAGGATCCCAAAAATCCTGATCTAATTCAGCCCAGATTCTACTTCCCTTTCAAAAAGTTTTTTATAATAATCCACAGCCACAGACATCATGCTATTCTGGTCATAGACTAAACCTCCAGGACCTTGTAAACAATCTATTCTTTTCTTCCTACTTCTATAGTTAGCTACCGCCTGGAAATAGGCTGTGTTTCTATCCCCTTCTAGTAAATCTCTATCTCTAGATCTTTGCCTACTCTTGATTTCTTCTAAAGCCCAAATCTGATCTAACTGTTTTTCCACCTGCCTTAGTTCAGACAACTCTTCTGTAGAGAGAATTCTAACCTCAGAAATGCCCTCCAATCTAGTGAAATCCCTAGAAAGAGAGGCTTTAGTTCTATTAAGCTCTGCTACTTCATTAGCAGCCCAACCTCTGACAATTCTCCTGAGAATTCTAATTTTAAACTGCCATCTATCAATACTCCTCTTCAGAGAGCAGGGAGTATTCCAAGCTTTCACCACTACTTCCCTAAAAGACTCGTTTTCTAGCCACCATTTTTCAAATCTAAATCTCTTTTTACCAAAACAACAATTATCACCAGCATTAAGCAAAAGAGGATTATGGTCACTGGGCAATCTATCTAAAGCTCTAACAGAAGCTAAAGGAAAAGCAGCTTCCCAAGAAGTGGAAACAAAAATTCTATCTATCTTAGCCAAGATCCTATTCTCTTGATTATTTGTCCATGTAAATTTTTTATTACTGGCATTTAACTCTATCAGACCCCACTTGCTGATCCAGAGTTTAAACAAATCAGACCATCTATGATTGATCTGACCATTACTTTTGTCACTAAGGAACCTGACTAGGAGCTCGTGTCTTTATGATAAAAGAGCAATCTTTTCATTTATTTGAAACAGATGCTAACGTGGGATGACTTGGAAGGGTAACTGACATATTCCATGTATCTCAGTACAATATGTTTTTTTCTCAATCTGCAACTGCTGCTTATGTTTTTTTTCTAGGATTCAAAGGCATCACTGTTGTTTGATGTGCAAACTATTACTTATGTTTTCTTGGGACTGAAAGGCAGGAGTGCTGTTGGATGTAAGTTATGGATTCTCTTTTGTTTGCGGACATCATTTTTATTGCTGCTTACTGATTAAGTACTGCTTATGAGCATTGCTTGCAAAATCTACTTGCATGTTTATTTCATTATTTTGCTGGAACTCAGAATGTCGGCAATGCTCTGCTCAGTCTGTTCATGCACAAAGTAAAGATTGAAAATCCATCGTGAGCTGCACGCCTGCTTTTTTTATTGACAGGACCAAGCAGATGCATGATATGCGCAGTGAACTATTTGTAATGGTTTGACAGGATCAATATACATTGTATCTTTTCATGTGAAATACACATAGATGCTTTAAAATATGCAATGTGATGGCTGTGTTAAAAAAATGATTGTTTCTCTGCTTGCTCAGGACCTCCACGAATGATTTGGTAATTTGATCAATTTGGGTTTGTTTGGCACACAACTAATAGTTGTCCTGCATTGGGTAAACCTGTTCCATTTTGCAACCTGTAGCCAAGTGCCCAGTGAATAAGCTTGCGATTGAGTCAAGAGTCTGTTTTGAGAATGGGTAGTTTCCATCATTGGGCTATATGAGCCCCCAAATTATGTTTGTACTGGTTCTTTTATTACAACCATGATGTTAGTGGTCAGCTCCCTAAAACTTATTTTCATTCCCCTAACAATTCCAAGTGGTTATTTATATATAATTCCCATGCTTTAATATATGATTGCTATAAGTGAATAGGTTAGCAACTGCCACTATGCTATTTGTGTGTGTCCTCTATCTATATGCACATATTGTTACAAATAATTAAATTTTCCTCAAAATTTTTGTTACAA